TGTACCGTTACACCCCTAATATATATATATATATATTTATTTATTTATTTATATTCTCTTTTAACTAAAGCCTAAGCGTCTTCGTCTTATGTATATATAATAAGTATTGTACCATGATGATGATGATAATAATAAATATAGCTGCAAGCAGCAATTGCGGGGCCAAGCACTCCAGAGGCAAGTCACGCCCAGTTTAGGGAGCTAAACACTCTCACAAAAAAAAAAAAACAAGAGTGCCCTTAGTTGAAACTGTAATAATGACATATTTGGTAAAGTCTTCTGTGCATATTTGCATTTCCGCTCTGGTGAGCGTCAGATGTTTCTATTTACAAGTTTGCAGCATTGAGCAGTGTAGCCAATCACAGACACGTCCGTTGAACCGGTGAACTGAGATGAGTGACAGGCTCAGTGCATCTGAAATTATAAAGGGAGCACTCTTTGCATGTATTCTAGGCTATCTGTAATGCATTCAGAATTTTAATAAAAGTTATTACATTTTGAGAAAATTGTTACATTATGAACATTTTATTACAATAATAATGTAATACTTTTTACATTATGTGCAGTTATTACATTATGAGTTGCTACAAATGGGCTTTTAGCAAACCTCCAAGGGGATGACTTAAAGTGTTTAAATAGGCCTAAATACATTGTTGTTAAAGGTATACCGTAGTTCACCCAAAAATTGTAATTTGCTAAAAATGTACCCTCAGACCATCCAAGATGCACAGTAGATGATTTTGTTTCTTCATTGGAACATATTTGGTGAAATTTAGCATTATATCACTTGTTCACCATTGGATCCTCTGCAGTGAATGGGTGCCGTCAGAAGATTCTCTGCAGAGGATCCATTGGTGAGCAAGTGATGTAATGCTAAATTTATCCAAATATGTTCCAGTGAAGAAACAAACTCATGTAACATCTTGTATGGCCAGAAGGTGCATAATTTTTTTAAGCAAATCTTCATTTTTGGGTGAACTGTTCATTTAATATACCCAAAGAAAACAAATATAAATTAAATTGTCAGTAAACACATAAAATAAATACCAGGTATAGCCTTTATATGCAGGGGGCTTTTGAGTCACAAAAACTCAGAACCATTATTTCAAATATTCAAGCCCAAATGCTATTTAACTATTTTTGAAATAGCAACTGTCATTCAAGTCATATGATCTTTTGACAGTGCATCATTAATGCCTGAACTGAGGGACATGATGATATTACCATGACATTACCTGTCAACCGCAATGGCAACCAAGGTGAAAACGGAGGCTGACACTGATATGCCCTGGACCATTCCACTCATTTTGCAGACCATGCTTCCAAATGGCCAACCTGGGGAGAAGATAGAGATCACATTCTGAGCGATGATCCTGGCTAAATTATACAGACAGATGCACATTAATTGGATTACATTATTGTTTGTTAAAATTGACCTTAAAAGGGTGTTCCATTATATTTTCATTGTTGAACTTTCAAAGCATTTACAATGATGTAGTTCATTATGTTGAGTGTCATTTGACATGCATCTTACACTGAGTCACCCAAGCATCTGATGCAATAAATTGCATCAGATGCCATTTATAAAAAATAAATGTCCAGTGGATGGCATTTTGCATGCTGACAACTTATAAAGGACCACATTTGAAAAATACAGATATTATGAATCTACTGACTAAGATTATAATTAGCATTTGCCTGGAAACTATAGTTAATGATACTGAATGTCAGTTTAGTTTATTTGGCCAGTTTTGTCTTTACACCTCAATCAAAAATTAGCTGAAGTGTAATCAATGCACCGCTGTGGGCCAGAACAGAAAGATGCCTCCAGATTTGCCTTGGTATACAGCATGTGGGTCAGTTGCTATCACACTTACCATCTGGTGGGATTTAATGTATTTTGTGTATGATTGGAGGAGGTGAATTGGCTTAGGGAAAGGCTTACCAATATTTCACTGTGGGGGTGGGGAGTATCTGTATAGGAGACCGAATTCATTTGCATGGTGTTTTATACTTAGGGGCCATTGATAAGGGGTGTGTTCTTGAAGACACATGTTAGATGGACATTTGTAATAGTTAATGAATTCAAAATATGAGTTTTGTAGCTTTTTGTCCATGTGTGTTAGATTTGAGGATTTGAGGCATTGAGGCCCTTGTGAAAAAAAGTACACTTTATCATACATTATACTTTATTCTACATTAAAAAGAATACTTATTACGGAAATATACTTAAGTGCACACTGAATGTAATGATTTAGGGCACTTCATTGATTGTTATTCCAAATTAAATGAAAATGTGTTATATTTCAAATGTATATTCAATGCAATCAGATAAACTTTAGAATGTTAAAGTAGGACTTGAGTACATTTTTGTAATTTCATGTTTATTGTCTTTGAAATATGGTTGGACTGTACTGCCGAATTGAAAATGTATTAATGTACCATTTCAAATGCATTAAGATCATATGTTCATTTTCATTTTAAAAGCTTTACTGGGTAAATTACCATAACAACAATATAATACATATAATAACAATATAATAACATTATAATATAATATATATTGAGTTTGTTGACATATTGTACTAGTCAGGGACGGGCAGTAAGCCTATTTATGATAAATGTATTTCAAATACGTATTTCAAATATAAAATAGTATTTTTTCATTTGTATTTGATAGGGTTGATGAAAATGGCTTCATATTTTGTATCAAAATACTTTAGTGTTTTGTATTCTTGTAGTTTTAAAATACTGTAAAATACTTTGTAAGAAGTCTACACAATGACATCATAAAAATGAGGCCTCTGATTGGTGCCTGCTCAGTAGTTTGCCCAGACTTGTTACTATACTATTTATAGGCTAAATATATTTCTCCTGTCTGCAGTAGTGCAGAGTTTTTCTTCATTTCAGGAAGAGATTCACAGAGACCGAGACGGCAAGCACATTTTGTTTGCTTTCTTTATTTTACAAAATGAACAGTGTTTCACTGTTATTTTAAAGGTACACAAATAAAAATAGATCATTTTGAATGATGTATTGCTCTTATCTGACGGATATCACATCTTTCCGCGCTGATATAAATAATCCAAGTGTTCGTGCCATGCTGTGGTGTTTTTCCGAACACATTTTTTTGTGAAGGATGCTGTTTTAAGTAGATATTCAGACACAAGAGAAGTACAACGCCTTCTTTACATAGGCTAAATGATAGTTTAGCAACCAAATGTTACACTGCGTCTAACGGTTCACTCATAGAAACAATTCATGCTGAATGAGAGGTAGCCTATGTCAGCCCACCACGAGTTTCAGTTTCGATTAAATAAGTTTGTTATAGGCTTAACATTTAAAATAAATGCTGTTTGTAATGAATGGCACTAGCCTATAATTTATTTTTATTTTATAGATATATGTTTTTTTCTGTTTTGAATGCCACTATATTTGGAATTGGGGAAGTAAAATACATGTTTATAGCGTTTAAAATGTTTGTTGTTTATTAACGTTCATTTTATTTACCAGTATTTACATTGTTTTTGAAAGTAATAGTAAAGTGCAACTTATACACCAATGCAGCTTAGTGTTTTTTTTTTCTGACCTGGTGGAACTTTCTGGAAAATACAGGTGCATCTCAATAAATTAGAATGTCGTGGAAAAGTTCATTTATTTCAGTAATTCAACTCAAATTGTGAAACTCGTGTATTAAATAAATTCAATGCACACAGACTGAAGTAGTTTAAGTCTTTGGTTCTTTTAATTGTGATGATCTAATTTATTGAGATGCACCTGTATGGTAAATCTAATTATATTATACTGTAGTATTAAAAAGTACATATAGCCTACAACAGGGACCATCTGCTCCAAAAAAACAATCATATTATGTTCATTATACTCCCACCTACATTAACTTTAGCCTTAAACACTGATATAATTATGAGGGGGTCCTTGGAAAATCTTCTCCTTTGCAAGGGGTCCCTGGCTCCAAAACGTTTGGAAAACCCCTCCTCTATACTTCTATGGCTCTCAATAAATTCAGCGGTTTGAGTTGGTTTAATACTCCTTGACAAGTTCTGTTGCCACTTTCTGATTACATTTCTGGCTACATTTAAAATCAAAACATATTGATCATTTAATAATTGTTGAAATGCTAAAAATGTCTGTTTTCAACTTCCAAATAGGTGTCCAATGATTGATAAATAAATATTTGATTGCTGAATATTGTACCCTAATTGAAGTAGCTGTTTAGTAGGATCATGATTTTACATACCATTGCATGAATGACTGCCTGACACATAATATATTATTATATTTATGACTAACGATCAAATGATTAAGTAGTTAGAAACTAGTTGCTATGAATACAGGTGCCATC